AACATTTTTCTCCCACACTGAGTATACTCTCTTTTAGAGTCAGAACCTTTGTATCAGAAAATGTCACAACTACTACGACTTCAGGACTAACTGGGGAAGAGTTATTTTTCTCGAGAGCGGTTGACTTCTCGGCAAGACTCCCGAGCCCTTGGCAAGGCAACCAAGTTCCGTTTGTGAACACCAGTTAGAGGTGCTTGCCCGAGGAATCCCATTAGATTGATGGGATATTTGGAATTATATTTAGTGCATTGATTTCCCACCCTGTCCCCCATCACCATTTGCTTTTCCAAATGTTTTTCTTAAATACTGGTGCATCTCAAATCTTCCTCCCACACAGCGGAGGAGATCCCATTACCCGAGCATTTCTAGCAGCCCAAATAAGCCAAGTGCACTTTTCCCTTCAAACAGTCTCGGCAGCAATTACTTGTGTAAGGTTTTAAGTCTGCTCTGTGCAGGGCTAGTGCATTCCAGTGTGGCCTCCGTCAAAACTCTTCCTCAAGTTCCCTTTCCTTGCTACATCCTGTGGTGCCATATTGAGATCATTGCTGTTCCTTCCCGAACAGTTCTAGGTATTCACTTGTATCAGTGCTCGGTGATACATGTACACAGTCTCACAGCAGCCTCTAATTTTAATTTTTTTTTTTACTAGATGAGTGGTAAAATATTGTAATGTTAGGCAGTGGGTTTAATTCTATGCTAGAAGATCAAAATTGTCATTCAGATGTACAAAGAACATGTCTGTTTGCAACATGTTCAGTCTAGTCTATTTTTGAGCCTCAGACTTCCTTTATCCATTCAAGACAGGACACTGATCTAGAAGAGAAATGAATTAGATTTTTTTTTCTCCTACAGGTTTAGTCTTCTGGTCTCCGTTCAGGCAGGATTCCTAGTGAAATCATTGGGTTCTCTGTCTGAGTGAAGATCACAGGATTGCCTTGTCAAATGTCTTTGAAGTTTTACTTGGGAAGAAAATGTTTTTTGACCAGTATTTGCTGTTCTTTCCCATCTAATATTAAATGAATCTGAAGGTGTTTTTAAAAATATTTTTTATCTTTTAGATGTGGATTTTCAGTGGCAAAGCATTGAAGTTTTGATGTCGTCTCATAAAATTTGTTTCTTCTTTTTTCAACTTCTGAGAATTTTTTTTTTTTTCCTCATCAGCTAAGGAACATGAAGTGTATCCAGAGATTTCTTTTAAATTTCCCAATTTGCAAGTTGGGAGCTGGAACCTCAAACTGGAGCAGATCGATGTAGAGGAGGAGGCAAGTCTGAGTTCCAGTGTTCTGGGTCTGACACCCAGTTCCAAACAGCGTATGCATTTCTTAAAAATAGATGCATTCAGCAGTAAAGATCTGCTTCCGCTAGCATTATTCTGCATTACCTGCCTGCTACGGTACAACATAGCTTTAATTTTCCAGTACTGTGCACCTTGGAAGCTGAGTGGGTTGGAGATGCTGCGGGTGCGTGTGGCGCCGCGCTGCAAACTGAATGTCCGGCTTGCGTTTGCCTGGGGGCTGAGAGAGAGAATGAGATGCTGCTTTTTACCTTCTCTTGGAAAATAATTTTAGCCAGCGCTGCATTTGCAGGCTTCTCCCGTGTAGTTGGTTTGTGACTGGATTTAACTGTGGCGGTGTATAAAAGATTTTGATATTCTGTGAGATACCATGTAGAATTTAAATTTGATACTATAATAATTCAGTCCCTGTGACATTGTTTTTTGTTTTAACTTCTTTCCTTGGGGTTGACACTAATCTTTCTTTTTTTTTCTCAAGATGCTGTGAGAAACATTTCATCCAAATGCCAAATAAATTGTGTTCTGTAAGAGAGGTGGTCTGCTTTAATGTCTGTTTTTAGTGCCATATTTTTGCATAGGTGTAGTTCTTCAGCATGCAAGAGGAAGTCTTGTCATCCCAGGCTTCTAAACCATGATCTTTCTGGAAGATCAATAGATGCATTTAAGTTCAAACAGGGAGGCTGAAGTGGCTCCCTTTAGCAGTGGAATTTACCTATGTTAATGTTGTTTTAAGATAGTCCTGGTTTTGTATCCAAGAAGCCCATTTCTGCTGCCTCGGTAAAACTTCCCCCCAACCCACCTGTGCAAACATCCAGAAGGGGCAGGAGGCGAGTGCGGGTGGTCGCGCGGGGCTGCGAGAGGTGCTGAGGGCTGCTCCGTGGGCAGACAGTGCGAGATGCCCCTGCGCCGATCCCTGCAGCTCCTCTGGCACAGGGAGCCCGTTCCCAAGGCCCAGCCACATTTCCCAGGAAATGGCGGTTGCGGAGCCCTCTCCTGCTGCTGGCGCCTGTGCGCTGGGCCGGGTGGAAGTGCCCTGGGTGGGCAGGAGGAACTGGGTTGCTCCTGAAACCGTGTCCTGTGGCAAGGAGCCGGATTTCGCAGCCGGCACCGCGCTCCTTCTGTCCTGCGGGAGATGGGCAGTAGATGGCATTCCCCCTTGGACCGGGATTGAGCTGTTCTTAAAGCACAGGCTGTTTTAAGTCTCCCTCTGGAGTTCTTGGGAAAAGAGATGAGCTGGCCTCTGTGCACTCGGGCAGCCGGTCCTGCAGCCTCAGAGTCCCCATTTGCCTGTGACAAGGTGGTGTCTGATGCTGTGTGTCATGAAAGAACCTGTAGCTCTGAATTACTTAAAGCTGTCTGACAGTGGGGAACTTTTAAACTACTTAACTATTTTAAATTGAAACTATTGTGCTGATTAATAATGTGGGTTCATCTATGCATCTCTCAGATTCTGGTTGTGCTAGTGGCATGGAAGATAAAGCAGCACCAAAATCCAAGGCAGTTTGGTTACAGCAAGTTGTGCCCCCCAGCGCTGCTTTGGACCCTGCTCTAAAGGTTGCTTGTTATCTCTTTAGATACTTGTAGCAAAATTACTGTGGACTGCAAAAATTGGTATAGCCGAAGTCATGGGCTGCCCCTGCCCCAGGTACGGAAAGGCCTTGGCTCCCTTTGGCGAGCTCTGGCCCTCGCCTGGCTCCGCGCTTGGGAGCGGAGGCAGTTTGTGTTTTGCAAGGCGCTGAGCCCGCAGTATCCGCTGTGGTTGAGCCGTGCGAGGCTGTCCCGAGATGGGCCGTGGCCGCAGGATGCGCTCAGCCTTGAACGCTGTCCAGCGTGTGCTGTCATCGTCACTGCGGGAGCTCCTTCCCCTCCGCCCGCAGAGGGCAGCCGCTGCCAAAGCTCCCTCCGGCTCCTGCCCGGCTGCTGGACCTGGAGCAGCGCCTCGCGGAGCTCCCTCCCTGCCGGCAGGTGCTGGTTCAGCCCAGGGGACGCAGCCCTTCCCTTGGTGCCGGTCTCGCTGGGAGACAAGTGACCCCCTGCAGCAGCTGCGCGGAGAGAGCTGGGCTGCCTGGACACTCGGTCTGGCTGCGTCGGCCCGGCACAGCTCTGCTAGATGTGATACAGACGTCAGCAACCCTTCCCTTCCTGTGGCCCCTTGGGGATGGGAGGTGATGCCGTGGTCCTCAAGAGGGTCTGGGCAGGTTGGGCTGGTCTGGGCATTCCTAGCGGAGCTGCAGCTGCCACTGTGGTCCCAGTGCAGCTCCCGTGGGATACGCGGGTGCTCGCAGCCATCGACGCTGCGCTCAAACGAAGCAGCGATCAGCGCTCGTGCAGATACCGCACAGGAGCTTTGCCCGGCAGCCCTCTGTTTCGGATGGTTACCTGTTTAAAACACATCTTTCTAGGGGGGGAATCAGCAATCGTGCTCAGCATGGCCTGGGTGCCGCAGCGGCCCTGGTGCGCACATGGGGTGTGCGTAAGGGCTGCGGTGACGCGGCCGACACCGCGGGACCAGCCCGCCTGCGGGGGCGTCCTCTGGATGCGCTGGTGACGGGCTTGGACGGGCACTCGGCGCAGGAGGGGCTGAGCAATGGGCAGTTTTAGAGCTTTTTGGTGCTGCTGCCAATGGAGTCGTGGCAGAACTAACTGCTAATGCTGCTCCAAAGAGCTTGCTGTTATTTTTCTTATTAGGGAGAGCAAAGACCAAGGAGAATTTGGAATGGCCAGAGCAGTTATTCTGCTTGAATTTCTCTCCATGCTGCCCGTGGGTCTCTGGACACCCGCAACCCTCTGTGCGCACTAGCCCAGGCTGTCCATGCTGCTCTGCTCCTCTCTGACTGGCCAAGTCCTTGGGTGGCCCCGGTACTCAGATCCCCGGGGCTGCACCATGCACAGGTGATGCAGAACTTGCCTCCTGGAGCTGCTCTCGGCGCCTCCAACATGCGCTGCACCCACCAGTGCTTGCTGGCGGAGCTTGTGGCGGGGCTTCCCGGCAGGGTGGCACCGTGCCTGCCCTGGGTCGATGGACCCAACTTAGGCAGCTATTTTTAATTTTCAGGGAGGTTGTCTTTTTTTTTTTCCTTCTCTTTATTTTTTTTTTAGCTTTAATGGCCCTTGCCCTTCCTGCCAGCGAACACTTTCACCAAAGTGAACCTCGTCCTCCCTGGCTCCCTCGGGCAGGAGGAGGCTCGCGGCCTCCCTCTGCAAGGACGACGCGGAGCCGCAGGACTCACCGCGAGCTCTTCAGCATGGTCATGGCACCAGGAGCCTGGGAAGGACCCAGCAGCTCTTTAAAGGTTTGATCCAGACCTTCCAGAGACCTGAGGCCGGGTCACTCCTGCCACATGCCAGTGCGTTGGGTGCTCCTGGGTGGAGGGCAGAGCCGGGCACGGCGGCAGAGCCCTGGTCCAGGCAGGGCCCTGGGCCCCTCTTTTGTCCATGTGGGATCTCTTAGGTAGCATCTCTTGTCTTTGCCTCTTTGTCAAGAGTCTTTGCGTGCACATACAGAGCAGGTCAGAGAGCTTTTAGGGCTTGAAGGAAGCAGGTGCAGGTGCTATCTGTTCACGAGTGGGTGAGGGTGGCAAGTGGCACGTCTGTGCTGTCGGAGACCATAAACCTCCCTTTTGCTCTCTCTCCAGGTTGCTCTGGAGTGATGATTACAGTCCTCTGCAAACTGCATCATCCACAGACCAGGTGCCAAACCGGACTGATGGCCCCGATCCAGAGCAGCTCCCGGGGGCTCTGCACCGTTGTCCTCCTCTCTGCCTGCCGCTGCTGCCGGACACGTCCCCTTGCTTCTGCCCGGCACCCGCTGGAGCCGCCCCATGCTGGGGAGCCCGAGGAGCCCCCGCTGGGGTGAGCTGGAGCCCCCGGGACGAAGCGTCCGCCAAGCCAGGGAGCTTCCCGGCCAAGCTGCCGGCAGGAGGCTCCTTCCTGTGGCCTTCTGCCAGCTCCGGGTTTATTCATCCTGGCAAGGTCTCCGCCACGCTCCGAGCCAGGAACTGAGCACCGACAGGAGCAGCAGAGGAGCGGGTCCTGTGGCCTCTTTTCTTATCCTTGCCTGCAGAAAGCAGGGATATTTTCGGATAACGCGACAACAGCACAATCCAGTGTTTTCGTGCCCCCTTTTTCCAGCCTACCTGCGGCAGGAGGAGAGCTGCTGCTCCGAGGTGAGGGCTCCCACGAGGCCTGCCCGGTTAGGGGATGTGAAGCAGCACTGCTTGGAGTGAAGGTCCATGGCGAGCAAGGAGCCCAGCAAGCACGTCCAAGGGCAGGAGATGCCCTGGGCTGAGCTCTTGCAGAGGCAGTGGTGCGAGCAGGGGGCATGGACAGGTGCTGACGTCCCCTTCGGATGGCTCATGCTTCCACAGGCCCTTCCCAGAGGCGCTCGGAGCTGATTTCAGCCCAGGGTGTGCATGGTGGCAAGGGCCCCTCTGTGGTTCCTGCTGCCCTCAGCATTCGGGCTGGCTCCTTCAATGCCATTCCTGAATCCCCATGCCACTTGTGCCACTTCACCCCACCGATCTGTGCCTTTCTGGAGGCACAGTCGCGGGATGCCGAGTGACCGGAGCAGGGCCGGCATTCTTCCTCTGTTCCTTCCTCACCGGTGCCTTCCTCTGTTTGGCTGGGAACTGCCTGGGCCCCAGCTGGGGACATCCCATGATGGCCATGGGGGATGCAGCCTGCCCGTGGGGCCAGCGGGGCGCTGATTGCGGGGACAGAGGGCAGAGTCACGGCGCTCCCTGTGGCTTTAGCTTTGGAGTTACACCCCGGCTGGGAGCTGTCAGGATCACGGGCTGGCCAGAGTCTGCTCCCCACGGCTGGGCTTGGCCATTATGGTGGGTGATGGTCACGACGAGCCGGGGTCACCGAGTCCCCCACTCAGCACTGCCTTCTGCTTCTGCCCCCGTCAGGCCTCGGAGCCCCCAGGTTGATGGGTCTGGGGCACCGCGAGGGCCTGGCCCTGCTCACCAGGAGGGACCTGCTGTGACTCCTGGCCAGGATGGGCAGGAGCATCCTGGGACCTGCGTGCCCAGAGAGGGCTGCCGCGGTGCCAGCTCCAGGCAGGTGTCCCGGCGCGGGGAGGGGCTGGCTCCGGTGCTCCCCGCTAGCAGGCGAGGAGTTAAAAACTCAGCCTGTGTGATGAATATTTAACAGCAGCGCCCAGGCTGGAGCTGAGGATTTCTCCGGCTGGCGGCTCGCATTTTTTTTCTGGCGGGTGCTGCGATGGAGGGGCCCCGGGGGCTGCGGCACGGGGATGGCGGCACCATCCTCGTTTGTTCCTTTGCTCTTCGGACGTGCTGTGCGCTGGCTGGGGTCTGTGGTCCAGCATGGACCCACAGGGCATTGCTGTCCTGCTGCACCACTGGGGTCCTCTGTGACCCTGCTCCACTCTCAGAGCCGAAGGGGCACGTCCGTGTCTGGGAGCTGAGTCTGGGCAGGAGATGCCTGGTCTGAGCTGGTGGGGATGCAGGTGCGCGGGGCTGTGGCCTGTCCTCACTGCCAGAGTCAGGGGCTGGAGAAGTTTGGGTGCTCCGGGCCAGGCTGTCAGCGCTGCCGTGGTTGGTGCTTCCCGGTACCCGGCTATGCCCAGGGATGCTCTTGTGCTGGGGGAGCGGTGCAAGAGGGCGATGGG